GTGGCGGAGGGGGGGGAGGGGGGATAAGAAAAAACGAAAGGGTTACTTCAAGTACAAGGTTAAGGTTTACCCGGCGCATCCTCAGGTTTGGCTTCGCCAGCGCGGTACTTGAGGTAGGGGGGACGTGCTAGGGTTCTCGTTGAGGAGGGTGGCAGCAATACTACTCCCTTATGACGTGCAGCACAAACGAACGAGGAATAGTTGTAAGCATATAGTCTAGTGTCCTTGTCTGCTTCGGCTACCGTATTAATTAGTCTAGTGGTGCCCAATTGCACATGCCTGCACCTAGTCTATATACCGGTTGAATTGTGGGAAACGAGCTGAAAGATCTACTTCCTGCGGCAGCAGCGCGTGCCGCTTGATCGATGTACATTAAGCACCTACACATCAGAGCCCCCAGTTTTTTCTGAGGCTGAGGTTCGAAGTTCCTAGCGTTATGCCACAAACAGACATAGACTATACAGTATAGGTTTTGGTGCAGGGGTTCTTTCCTGGGCTCACAAATGATGCTCAAGGTCTCTGTATTTCCAGGGTTTCGAGACGTAGTTTTTCTAACTTCCAAGGTCGAGTGTAGTGTATGTTATGGGAGCAAGTGCGGGCGCACGCTTTCGTCGCAAACCATTCATTCGTCTTGTCCGCGCTTAGTTTCTCTTGTCACCCCACTCGATTAACTGCCCTTGGTGACTGGGCCCACCGCGTGAAATCGAAAGGTGCTAACGACAGAATATCCGTGTGTAGAGCTAGAGCGAAACTCACACAGGCCACAAGATGACCAACGTTTCCTCCTACGACAGGCCGAGAAGTCTTACCATCATATCACGCCGCCGGTGCCGAACGTACAAATAGATCGCCCCCCGACAACACAACGGAAAGACGCAAGGAAGCTGACATGGCAGTATCGCATGTATGTGCGGGATGGGAGAAGAGAGGTTGCTGAGAATAGTACGGGAGGCGAAGTGGGCAAACAAAAAAGAGGGGTAGACAACCCACGGAATGGGTCAAGGTTGTAGAGGACGTGTGGAAGGGGTTAGACATCGACGAAGATGAAACGCTGGAAATGGAGGGTCTACAGGGGTTCAAGGAGAAGATATCTGTTGCTTGTGCCGAGAGAGAAGAACAGAATCTAAGGAAAGAAGCCAAGGATAAGGAGGGTCTAGAAGTGTACGGAATGTTGAAAGAAGGAATAGGGTTCAAGGACTACCTACATGGACCAATGGATGCAGGGACAAAGCTTGAGGTCAAATTCAGGACCGGGGACATAGGCCTTCGAGAACGTCGACGAAGACATAGGACGGTAGACGACGAAGACGACAAGTTCAAATGTGATTGCGGCTTCGAATGCGAAGGCCGTGTTCATGTAGTCTCGGAATGTCCGTGGTACCAAGAGGAGAGGGAAGTGTACATGACTGAGCTGGGAATAATACAAGGGACGTACAGGGAGATGTTTGAGGCATGGAATAGAGAGGAGAGGACGGTAGCGGTACTGGGACTAGGAAGTGGTTTGAAAAGGCGGGAAGGGATATCGTTAGGATAGACAGACTAGGGAAGACATTTTTGAGCCACCTTTGGCAAAGTAGAAAGGAACGATTGGCCATCGGTGATCGGTCCTGTGGGCACAATGCTCCATCCTCTCGAGGACGCGTGGTCAATGGTTTAACCGCTAAGGCACGCAAAACATAAGAGTACGCCCCCCCCCCCCCCGACAACACAACGAATGCCGGGCTGACGGGGGAGGTCAATTTGGGCGACATAACCTTACGCTTGCCGGAGAAATAGAGAGAAACACAACTCTCTGGTCTAGTCCTGTTCATTCGGCTTCCTCCATACCAAGGGACCACGCAGAGGCGTCACCGACAGATTTATTGTACTTCACTTAACGCTCATTCATTGTTCTTTTTGTACACCACACCAGGGCCGAGTAAAACACCGAAAGGGAATGAAGCTCTCTCAGTACATCCACGCCAATCAACCGCCTGTACCCTTTGCCAACGAGGTTTTGTGTTGTGAAAATCTAGCCCATCAACATCATAATTTACAACCAACTAGCTCGCGAATGGCATAGCGTTGCTGCATGGAGACAGCAGCCCCCAAATCGATCTAATATAGAACTGCATCTTTTCCACCCACAGACTCGCACCAGAGACATACAACAAACAACGTTCTGACTAAGAAACAACCAAGAGTCGATCCTAAAACAGACAAGTCAACGGTTGTGGCAGCGCATAGGAGATAGAAAAGTCTCCTAAGACTTGCAGCCACAATACGCCAACGAACCTGACTTGAAAAACGATTGCAAAGGAAACCCAACACATAAAACACGATATCAGTCCTCGGCCATAGGCTCACACCATCAACTAAGCAAGCTAACATCAGGAATAAACCGATAATCGATCCCCAAAGAGACAAGTCAACTACTATTGCTGCGCAAAGGAGATGGAAAAGTCGTCCTGAGACTTGCAGCCACAGCACGCCGACGAATCAGATTTGAAAACGATTGTTGAGGCACATAATCAACGATCGACCTCAGCCCTGGTCTACATATCGTTCCCACCAATAGACTCGCACCAGCAACAATACAGAGCCATCTCAGGAAGAAACCAATAATCAATCCTAGACAAGTCATCGATTTTGGCTGCGCAAAGGAGATGGAAAAGTCTTCCTTAGACTTGCAGCTACAACATGCCGACGAATCTGACTCGAAAAACGATTGTGAAGGTAAACCAACAAAAAACACGGTATCAGTCCTCGGCCGTAGGCTCACACCAGAAACTGAACAAGCCCATCTCAGGAAGAAACCAAACATCGATCCCAAAACAGACAAGTCAACGGTTGTGGCTACGCAAAGGAGATGGAAAAGTCTTCCTGAGACTTGCAGCTACAACATGCCGACAAATCAGATTTGACAACGATTGCTGAGGTAAACAAAAAAAAACACGGTATCAGTCCTCAAAACTAGAGCCATTCCAGGAAGAAACCGATAATCGATCCCAAAACAGACAAGTCAACGGTTGTGGCTGCGCAAAGGAGACGGAAAAGTCTTCCTAAGACTTGCAGCCACAACATGCCGACGGATATGACTTGAAAAACGATTGTTAAGGCACAAAATTAACAATCGACCCCAGCCCTGGTCTACATATCGTTCCCACCCATAGACTCGGACAAAAAGGCCAGAGTCATCTCTGGAAGAAACCGAAAATCAATCCCAAAAGAGATATGTTGACGGCAGTGTCTGCGCAAAGGAGATGGAAAAGTCTTCCCAAGACTTGCAGCCACAGCACGCCGACGAATCAGATTTAAAAACGATTGTTGAGGCACAAAATCAACGATCGACCTCAGCCCTGGTCTACACATTGTCCCACCCATAGGCTCACCCCAGAAACTAAACAAGCTCGTCTCAGGACCAAGCCGAAAATCGATCCCCAAAGAGACAAGTCATCGATTGTGGCTGCGCAAAGGAGATGGAAAAGTCTTCCTAAGACTTGCCGCCGCAACACGACGACGAATCAGATTTGAAAACGATTGTTAAAGAAAAATATCAACGATCGACCTCAGCCCTGGTCTACATATCGTCCCACTCATAGACTCGCACCAGCAACAATACAGAGCCATTACAGGAAGAAACCAATCATCGGTCCTAAAACAGACAAGTCAACGGTTGTGGCTGCGCAAAGGAGATGGAAAAGTCTTCCTAAGACTTGCAGCCACAACACGCCGACGAATCTGACTTGAAAAACGATTGTTAAGGCACAAAATGAGCAATCACGATCGACCTCAGCCCTGGTCTACATATCGATCCCACCCATTGATCCGCACCAGAAAAACGCCAGAGCCATCTCAGGAAGAAACCGAAAATCAATCCCAAAAGAGATATGTCGACGGCTGTGTCTGCTGCGCAAAGGAGATGGAAAAGTCTTCCCAAGACTTGCAGCCACAGCATGCCGACGAATCAGGTTTGAAAACGATTGTTGACTACGTCGAGATTGTCGTCTCTAATTCAAACAAACGCGGCTGACTATCACTATCGCAACATTGGCTGGCGTCCTTTCGCAAATAAAAACAGCACATCAACACACGGGTTGGACACATACGCTTTGAGTCGCATCACTTCACAATAGGCCCGTAGGAATCTCTCCGCCCCCCCTCCCATACCTCCTTGGGCAATGCAAGGGCTCTGGCGCCGTTCCACCATTACGAATGACCCTGACAACCCAAACAGCACATAATTTTCACACCTCAAACGACAACAGCTCGAATGCAACTAGTAACATCATCACATACATCCAGTATTGAGTGTACCAGCAGGCACGAGTTTTCACACTCCAAAATAAACAACCACGCACACGTTCTGTTCTCATCTCTCTCCTGACTGTTGCATATTGAGCGAGGGGCGGCTTGTGTTCGCCTGCAACTGTCGATTACATCGAGCCCAAATCAACACACGTTTCGACACGACCGTATAGCTAGTATCGTTTTATCTAACATCGACCACTCTACGTAGACAGTGCTCTCTGCTTATTGCCAGATCTAGGCGGCACACCAAGGGTAGGTACAGCTCGTCACCCTAACTCCGCCCACTTCCGCTTTCATACAAACTTTATTTCCTTCGCGTGGAGCCGTCAGACACGCAAGGGGCAGTCAACACCCATCACGCCTCGTCCGTCCTTATTCCGGTAAAGTGGTTCCACGATGTGTACGGCAGACAGCGAGTGACTGGAAATGATGGCGTTGAGTAGCACGCTACCTTCTTCGTCCTGGTGCGACTGCAACACCCCCCAAGTGTCAGTGCCCCGTAGTTTCCCCACTCCAGTCTTACCTCTCCACCCACTGGCAAACATATCCAAGCTGGTGAATGCATAGGACGCCTGAACGACAAGACATGTACATCACGACAGACGACGGCAAGCGACGCAACTTCCAGACAAATGAAAAAAAACAAACAGTTAAAAAACTCGAGTACTACGCTGCACTGCCCCACGCTCACAAATAAATCAATCCCAATATCATCGCATGCCTAGCGTGCCGCACCAAACTCGAGAGGGTACCACGGGATTCGCCACACGCCCACGATTCGCTCTTCACACTCATTCAGCAAAAGCACCCTCCGAGTACGTCTCATCATCACCGTGAGCCTTGTCGCCTAACCCCCCAAGTGCTAGACGTTCTTGGTCGAATTCTGAGCTCTTGTCCACTCTACCCACTCCCCCCAGGCTCTCCACAGGGTGGAATACACCACACCATATAGGTCACGCCTTTCGTTGGAACACCTTCCACCAAGCGACGGGTGCACACCGTCGAAGCACGCCACCACAAACCACACTAACCTCGGCAACTCATGAATCTGTCCGTCGAACTCACACGCCGACAACTATTCCAGCGACAAGCACACCAATCGTAGACCTCTTCCCCATTCTCAACGAAATGTTTCTCCTTCCGACAAAGGGTACCCACCCTCACAGGGTCACGATTTCACCCGCTTTCCACATCTCCCTCAAGGAGAAGTGGTCCCACACCGGCCTGGCGTCTCGCTTCCTCCTGACGTCGGAGAGGGCCGCCGAGCGGATCCTTTTCGACCGCCGCTTCCGTACATCGCCGAGGATTGCCCGGATCTCCGCCTCCCTCTTCTTCTTCTTCTCGTCGTTGAGCGCCATCATGGCCCGTCCCAGGTCCGCCCGCACCGCCACGTCGTCGCTGAACGCGGTCTCTTCTTCAACGAACGTCCGCTCCTCCAGGAACAAGAGCTGTTCCATGCAGGCAGCCAACGCAGCGTCCATCATCTCCGTCGCAGACGTACGAGGGGCAGCCATCGACATGTTCTCCGTAAACTCGGCCAACGCGGTGGTGAGCCTGCCTTTGTCGTTGTCGCTGGTCGTTTCCGGAGAACGCGCCAGGCGGCTGTCGTCCACTGCTCTGTCGGCGATCTTGAGGGCCTGCATGGCCATCGCCAGGGCGTGATCGATGCCGTCGCTGGTGCTGGTGGATGGCGTACCCAGCACCGGGCTGACAGCGAAAGCCGAGGTCGAAAGCTTGGAGGGCGCTGATGTTGCCACCGCCACCGCCACCGCCGCCGCCGCCGCCGCTGTTGTCGACGCCACCGAATCTGTTCTCGGTGTGGTGGGCCCCGATGTGGTGGATCCGGTCGTTATCGCCGCTGCCACCGTTGCCTTCGCCGCCACTGCCGTCGACGCCACCGAATCTGTGCTCGGGGCGAACGTAGGTGCCGTCAATGTCAACGGTGATGCCAGCGTCGAAGAAATGGCCAGTGGGTGGGGGAAGTTAGTGTCTGACGACGTGTCGGTAGCGATCGGTGGGGTGAGCCCGAAGGCGGGCATCGGCCCCGGGGCCGGCGGCGTCGTGGGCGCCCTAGGGAGTACCACTCCCACATCGCTGGCACCAGTAGCGACATCACCAGCATCGCCAGCGGCGCCAACAGATGTCGACGGCATCGCCACACCAGGCGCGCCCGAGATTACTCCAGAAACAGCTAGGAGGTCTAGCGTGTGGTCGTCGAACTCCGCCATGGGACACGAGGGAACAGAGCCCGGCTGGTCGGACACGGCTCTTGCGGCGGTCGGAGATGAGGTGGTGTCCAGACCGAATTGCCTCTGAGTGCTTCCTGCGGTAGTAGCGGGGCCGGGCCCCTCGCTGGTGGATGGCGTACCCGACACCGGGCTGACAGCGAAAGACGAGCTCGAAAGCTTCGAAGGCGCTGATGTTGCCATCGCTACCGCCGCCGCCCCTGCCTTCGCCGCTGCCACCGTTGCCTTCGCCGCCACTGCCGTCGGCGCCACCGAATCCGTGCTCAGGGTGAACGAAGGTGTCGCTGTCGTCACAGTAAACGGTGCTGCCGGCGTCGAAAAAATAGTCGGTGGGGTGGTGAGGTTGTTGCTGTTGTAGGCAGTGTCGGAAGAGTTCACTTGGTCGTCCATCGCCGTCAGAGATGGTGGTGACTGGTCGGTGAGCACGACCGACGACGCCCTTCCCAAGAAGGCGCCAGGGTTGTTGAGGGCGGAGGTCGGGGCCGGCGGCGGTGTCGGTGTGGTGAGCCCCGATGTTGTGGATCCGGTCGTTACCGCCGACAAGGTGCGGGAGTTGTTGAGGGCGGAGGTCGGGGCCGGCGGCGGTGTCGGTGTGGTGGGCCCCGATGTGGTGGATTCGGTCGTTACCGCCGACAAGGTGCGGGAGTTGTTGAGGGCGGAGGTCGGGGCCGGCGGCGGTGTCGGTGTGGTGAGCTCCGATGTGGTGGATTCGGCCACAACCGCCGCTGCCACCATCGCCGCCGCCGCCGCCGCCGCGTTCGCCGCCACTGCCGTCGACGCCACCGAGTCTGTGATTGGCCTTGGGACGAACGAGGGTGTCGCTGTCGTCGATGTAAACGGTGCTGCCAGCGTCGAAGAGATGGACGGTGGGTGGGGGACGTTGGTGTCTGACGTCGTGTCGGCAGCGATCGGTGGGGTGAGCCCGAAGGCGGGCATCGTCCCCGGGGCCGGAGGCGTCGCGGGCGTCCTAGGGAGTGCCGCTCCCACATCGCTGGCACCAGTAGCGACATCAGAGGCGTCAGCGCCGGCGCCAACAGATGTCGACGGCATCGCCACACCAGACGCGCCCGAGATTACTCCAGAAGAAGCTAGGAGTTCTAGCGTGTGGTCGTCGAAATCCGCCATGGGACACGAGGGCACAGAGCTCGGCTGGTCGGACACGGCGCTTGCGGCGGTCGTAGATGAGGTGGTGTCCAGACCGAACAAGATTTCGCCGGAGAAGTCGTCTGCGGCGGCGAGAAGAAGGAATCATTCAATCAGGGTGGTGGTATACGACCGCCCGTCACGTGTGCGCTTGTACAAACATAGTGGAAGAGGGAGAAAATGCAGGACGAGACACCCTCCGTGACCAAGGAAAAGCGCTACACGTACCAGTTGGTACGAAACTAAAATGAGACACGTATTGATTTTTAGCGATCATCATTCCTGCAACATACTGGCGTTGTGAGAGACCTTTTACTCACGCCAGGCGTAAATTGCGAAGGACGAACGGAGCAGAGCACTAACACCAGCACCAGCACCACCAACACCACCAACACGTAGAGTTGCAGATGAATCTCAACCAGTAAACAACAACCTCTCGTGAGAATCTCGCCTGGGAATGATGTTGATTAAGCGCGTTTGGTGGCGGGCATCTACGTGTTCTCTCTAGAATATAAATCCCCGATTCCAAGCTCCTGCCTCCACTGTCAAAGCGACGCCTTGTTGACAGAGTGCTTTCCATTCTGGTGCGCAAGAACGTCACCTTAATGGTATGTATAGCTATCATTACCTTCAAGGAAGGCAGCCATCAGGTCTGCGTCTTCCGGGCTCCAGCCCTCGTCGTCAAGGTCGTGGAGCCCGCCACCCAGGAGTTCCCCCAACTCCGCATCATCTCCTCCCGGGTCATTTCTTGCGGGCGCGGCCATCGATCTCGCGGAGGGCGGCGAGGGTGGCGCCGTGACTGTACCCGACGGGGAAGAGAACGGTCCTACCGCGTAGGGGCCCTGCAGTCGGTATAGAGAGGTATATAGTTTCGAGGCAAAGTAGATCGGCGGGATGGCGTCAGATACAGGCGAAGTTTGACCCGGTGCTGCTGTGGTTTGATCGGGGGAGGTAGAGGTGGTGACGTACAGTGTCTCTGCCCGGACACAGCTCAATTCAATCAGGATTCGGCCATGCAAATGTTTCTTGCCGAGTACATGGCTAATCTCTTGGTTCTGTCAGTACCCAAGAGGCCTCTCTCTCTGAGTTTCTCCGTCTCCCTTGAGTTGGTCGGATCGGTGGGGAAGGAGTCGTCGAAACAGCGTCGTGCGATTCCGCCCCCGGTAGGAGGAGGGGGTCTTCACAGCTTCACAGTGCAATTGGAGAGACATAGCCCACGACGAGAGACGACGAGAACCCGAAAACCGGAACGTCACGCCTATCGTATCATACCTCCAGAACACGCAGATTTCTTCTCAACGTGTGCTGCCTGTCGGTCCCTTGGAAATTATTGTGGTCATGCAAGTGCTGCTGATTCTCGCGTCTTATCCCCCCCCGATAAAGTGGACTCTGTGTTCGCATTGAATTTAGAGCGGCCCAAGGGTTGATCGAACTACAAAGGAGCGGGAGCAAACAAAATTCCGCCATCTACCATTCCTATCCACCGCTTCAATCGGGCGGGCAGCGTTTCCTTGCTTTCTAAACCCGCCTTTCGGAGAACATGTTATGACAGCACTGGACCATGCTACAGTGCTGTGGTTCTGTTCTCGTCTCACCTTCGCCATGGGCGAGCCGTAAGATTCATGCGTGTTGTCGTTGTTGTCGTTCCCGTTGTTGCCTTTGATAGCGGTATTGTTGGTGTTGGTGTTGGTGTTGGTGTTGCTGCTGGTGGAGGGGCTGGTGGTGGTGACGTTGTTGTTGTTGTAGTCGGTGGTCTTCTTAGTTTTCTTGTTCTTGCTGTTTTTGTTTTTGTTGCTGTTGTTGTTGTTGTTGTTGCCGAGGTCCGTCGACAGATCTTGGTGGGTGGAAGGCCCGATCATCGCGACGTGTCCGCCGAGAGAGGCAGACCTGAAACAGCCAAGGATGAATCAGCCGAGCAACAGGGAAGGAACGGGGGTGGTACTGGTGAGCAGCAGTGCCTTGGTTGTTGCCGCAGATCGTCGTCAGAAATCACTCAACTTAATGCACAGATAGGGCAAAAAATAAAAGGAAGGAGCACCGTCATGGTTTCCCTTGCATCTCCCTTTGAAATGACTCTACATGTATCGTGCTCAAACTCTGCAGAATGCCGGGTGGGTCAAATAGGAAGTATTCATTAATTGCTGTTCAGCCTGTCTTTGTTACACTCTTGTCCCGGCCCCGCGCACAGGATAGATACTACACCCAATAGAAGGAGATACAAAATACGTCAAGATACTACGCACAAATATACTGCCGCTGTGGTCATCAAGGGCCACGTACCTACAGACACAAGGCATCAACGAGGCGACATAGTACAGTCGATTCTTGCAACAATATCCTGGAACAGCAATCAGTTTCCATGTAAAACGATTTGTAACGGAGGAGGTAGTTCCTGCAACCTAAAAGCTATCGAGCTCTCCATGGACTCTCGTACAAATCGAAATGCCCACTCACGCGTTTGTCAAGTTTGACCTTCAGAGTTTGCATGCCGGCAGATGAACCCTTACCTCTATTGTATGAATTACAGTAATTCAGAAGAGTATTGTTTTTTTTTTTCGCTTTCGTTGGCTAGATGGTCAGGGGGGTCCCAGTGGCCTTGAGACCCGAGATTTCTGGCGATAATAATCAAACTCCTTCCGCAGGCGTCGTGACGGGAGGATCCAAAACGCCGAGTTAGATGTAGTCCGCTACCGAGGGCACGCGGGCTTTCTCCGTTGAGAACTGGGCAAGACAGATAGGGTCTAGAATGGTATTGGGCAGACGGTGCCAACACAACACATATCCGTCGGCTCAACATGCCAAAAAACTGGCCTGTGGAAGATTGCAATTCACCGCCGGTGGTGCTGTCTGGTACTCGTTCATATATTATACTCCGAGTAACTACTTCGTGGTTTGTTTGAACTTGAGTCTCCCCTCTTCTGGGCAAGAAGATCTCGACCAGACACCGTGAGCGTGATGGTAACCCCCGCTTTTCTCCCAAACACGAGAATTGATTGATAAACGTTGCCAACACAAATTGCACCGCACTTTTGGTCGGAACCACGGAACACGGGGAGACATCCATGGAAAATCGAAGGCCCTTCCGGGGCATTCTTACACAGCAAGCGGATGTGTGATGGCTATGTACCACCTACCACCTCTACCATATCAGCGTGCGTGTGGATTTCGAGTGCGGCGATCATTTCACGCCGGGTGGCGTTGGGTGACGCGCCAATTCGCATTGTGAACCCTCTTGGACATGAAACGTGTTCTGTGGGTGACACTGAATGAACTGACTAATAACTGGTACACTGTGTGACAACAACTTTCTAGTGTCAACATGGATGGATGGATGGGTAAATCTCACATTGAAAGTCCGCACAGACGCACAGCCGGGCGCGAGGCCGGTACTCCGCTGTTACTACTACCGCTGCTGCTGCTACCGCTGCTGTACACACGCACACGGTTTTGTAACTTCCAAGCGTTACGGCTTTGGGGCGGACAACGGTCCGCCCTGGCCAGCTTCCTTTTTTTCTACGCTTGGTTGGATGCCATGCAGCACGTTCTAGTTTGTACATGTCTCCCGATTCTTCCTCCGCCATGCATGGTTGTCACTCCCCGCGAGGGTCTCAACCAGTGGACACTAGGATACCACCTTCCACTGGTGGATTGAGCCAACTGTACACAAAGAAAGCTGCGGCAGATAGGGGATTGAACCACAGCACGGCCGCTATCAACTCGAGATGTCCCGAGCCCCACAGCGCCTGCCTGCAGGAAGATCTGGATTGATAGATTAAGACAGCACCCACACTCACATCGCGGGCGAAGCAGAGATAGAAGCTGTCCAATCACTGGCTGAAGCCGGCGAGGTGCTCCGTTGTCTCTTCTTCGTCCTGTACGATCAGGTATTGCCGGTTGCTGGGTAGAATTTACTGCTTAGGTCGTGGGGGAGCAGAGGCTGGAGAGCACGAAAAAAGGGGGCGACGCGAGTGAATATTATACAGATGCAGTGTTACCGAAAAATAGCGGTTTACAGGGGGTGGGGGGGGGGCATTCAATTGTACACTCACACATACATGTAGAGGGTAGTCCTGGACAGAACATCTGTGTCGCTGGCTGTACATAAACGTACATAGCGTACTGTGCGCGTTGGCAGATACGTAATCATAATTTATTTGTGGCTTCTCTTCTTACTTCATTCATATCCGAGACGACGCTAAATCAACGAACATTAGCATGGATCGTGTGCGGCGGCACTCTACTGGATGGAGCCCAGGATGATGATTAAGGGTACAGGGTTACGCTGTCATTACAACAGTGTAGAAAAGCGTGCAACAGTAACTGCTGTGTGAGGTCGACCGGAACTACAGACTGTGCCTATCTTCAGGCGACACTACACACTACTAACAACTGTCTTCACGGGTGTGTAACTTGGAACATTTTTTTGCTATTATCGTTGCAAGGTTCCCCTTCGGAACGTGGGTGTCAAGTCTCCCGAGGGTGACGAAAGATGTCATGCTTTTTGTGTGTGTGGTTGGTTGGCTAGTGCGCATTTCCATATAACAACGCATGTAGTATGTGTGCTATGGGAGTAAGGCCGTGCGGACAACATAACTCGCCCGCGAGATGAAAAAAATACGAGGAAACATACATACATGTAGTCTTCGCATCAGATTCCCGTTGTAGTTAAAAATCCGAAACACCAGCAGCAGAGGCGAGAGCCCGCGCTTCAAGAAGTAAGATGGATTTCAACAACCACTGCTGCTGTGGGTGCATGCGTCCAGACTTGTCTTCAACGTATATGTTCATTTGCTGTGCCCACTGCGAACTGGACAGAAGAGTACAGCACTAGGCGAGAAATTATGCTGTTGGACGTTGCCTTGACACTGTGAGTTTCTATGGTGACCCTCAGTGACAGCATCATCAGAAATGACGAGATTAGGTTACAATAGAGGCAGATTGTAATTTGTATTCGCTCGAAAACGAATTTCCCAAGACAAACTGCAAGCAGAGGTGCAGAAGTCACTCCGCGAGGGTTGACCATGCAAGATGGGTGGGAATCGAATCGATTGAAATTCCTTCGTCAGGGCCCGTCGAGGCGTAGGTCGGGCGAAGGCACCGCCCCGATCTCGTGCGCGCAGCTTCCGCGAGCTGAGCGAAGTTGAACACGGTAAGAAAGTGTGGACAAGATTTCTTAGAAGTGTTCCTTTCTTTGGGGCAGAAACCAAACTCACTCGCATCGGTGCGGTTCTCATCTCTCTGCAGAACTCCAACCTTCCGCACTAGACTAAGCCGAACGTACGAGTGGAAGGGATACAGTTCATCGTCGGAAACAAGCTAAACGAACTTGTGACTACACGACGAGACGTGAAAGGCCTATTATGAAGGCCAACATCATCACTGCCTGTGGTACGAGTTATAGTCTAGCCCATGTCTACAAATAGCAGCTCAGACGGCCACGCGGTAAGGTGGGGCTGGAAAAGAACGTTCTCGGGGAAGACAACAATGCGCTCTGGTAAATAATAAGAGGTGGGCTAAAAGAAAAACGTGAACAACCTGTGTATCGTCGAACTCGTGTTCATGCTACGCACAACATCCGTGCTTTGCGTGCACTGGTAAAAAATAGCACGTGAGGTTGTCACCGCAGGTCAAGTTTTTTCTGAACAAAGACTACAACATCGATGACCCGAAGAAGTCAGCCAGGAACCGATCAACTTTGCGGTCCGATTCGTCCCGCAAGATCTGCAGAGGGTTTGGCCAGATACAGTCCTATTTACTCCCTCTTGGCTTCTCATTGCTCCTCTTGTGTGCGTGTCCAAATCGTTACCCCACTCGGTCGGCGCCGAAAGGCCAGCATTGACGATTTGCCGAGGATGAGGCCGTACGGTCGGCCGTTGGAGTCTTGCCGCTCGTCAAAGGGGAGATGCCGGTACTTCTGGGCCACCACCCGCAGAAACCTTTGTTGTGGAAAGGAATCCGAGCTTTGTCAGCATGAAATTCCCGATGACCTGATAGTGGGTCTCAGCATGCATTCAACACCTGACCGCGATTTAACACGGGGGAGTCCCGCCCGTCAATCAGGACTCGAGGCATTCCCATTCCACCCCGCCTCCCTTGATGAGCCTGGAGGCACGTGGACATGACACGGAAAGCAGTTAAATCACATGGTGGGAGTGGTTGTCGAACGCGACATCGTCAACGTCCACTTCACAGGATGTGCAAATGTTTGCTCACGCAAGAAGATGTTCTCAGCCCACGCCCGCCGGTGCTGGATGCACCAGCATAGCACACACGAAAATCGGGTTTGACACGATATCTTGAACCGAAGTGTAGGCCTACGTGTCCTACTCGCAACTGCTTCTACTTCGGGACGATTTTGGTCGGTTGGGCAAACGGAGGTTTGGTATAGGCTGGGAACAATTGTGATCGGAGGGGTAGGTGACAATCCCGTTTCATGTTTAGCCTCTGTGCTGCTTCCAGCCTCAGGTATCGTATCGTGTCCGGCTTCGCGCGTACGACAGAAATGGGAGTAGAGGGTAGTAGGTGGTTTTTTTTTTTTGCTCGCGTCATTCGTCAACTGACAGGCGCGCGTGTACATGCCGTTTGGTGTACACAGACTCCGAGAGGGACAATCGAAGTGCTCGTCGCACGTTTCCCGTTGAGATCAACGTCTTTCGTATCTTGTCCCTTGATTGCACCATCCCAACGCCTTGTCTTGACATGGTATCTTGACATGATGTCTTGGCATGATATGTTGAACCGATGAGTTGTAGGCCGAAGTGTCCTACTCGCACTGCTTGCACATGGGGTTGATTTTGGTTCGTGGACCCAACATAACATAGTCTATGCCATTGTGCGAACGACAAAACTGAAACACACTTATCGCGCAGGTTTCAATCGAGTAGGCGTGGTTGCCAAACACAGACCTGCGGTTTCGCGCATACCAAACTACTCTCTCCTTTCGATCGACCGCGATTGATTCACAACACTGTGTCATGCTGATCGTCGTCTGGCTACAGTAGTAATGTCCCTCCCCGTGTGTAAAGCAGGCTCAACAAGAAAATTCGGTGGACCCAACGGCTCTGGACGAACTGCACTGCACGAAAACAATACCCTTACATCGTGTGGGTGGGTGTGTCATTTCTGCTCACGGGATAGTTCCGACCGCACCGCACCGCACCGGTATTGTACCAATGCCGGGCAAGAGAGGCAGACTTCCGTACGATACCAAGTAGTACGTGGGGCCAGGTAGGCCTATACATACCAAACAAGAACCGACACCACCACAGAACACCACTCCAGTGCATGGATGCCCGGGGGGTAGTGGTAGTGGCGACAAAACCTGACCATTGTCGGACTAAAAAGAAAAACGCGACTGACTCTCTTTACCAAGCGGTTCGGCAATGTCAATTTCCTCTTCGTCCACCCAACCACGACGTGAACTCCCTAGGCAGATAGTCAATACTCATACGCCACGCTTGCGGACGAGCAAAGCAGAGAGAACAGCAGTAGACCATAGCATACTCCTCGACTTTGTACCCCGAAGCCGAAACCAGTAGGCGGTGGCTCACTCCGATCGGAAACAACGTTGCTCCGTACAGCATCATAGCCCCTTCTTTCATGAGTCAACAAAACCGACCTGAAAATCCAACCCACGACACCACCTCAACCTACTAGAAGCCATCGCGTAACGACACAACTACCATGCCATACCATACTATTGACAGAACATTCCGTATGGCGCACGGGATCGACTCAGTCAATCAGGCAAAGTGGACGCCCTTTTCGTTGAAGGCAGAAAGCAGCGCCAGTAGGTCGTCGATGTCCATGCTAGCGGCCCTCCTCCCCTCCAGCGACTCCCTCTCCAGCACGCTTTCCACCATCTCCTTTACCTCCGCTTCCGTAGCACGACCGTCCCCCACGTCTCCCTCTCCCTCCTTCTCCTCGTCCATAGCGTCTACGGCAACAGCAGCACCCCTTGCCGGCTTTGCCTTCGACTTTGCATGGCCCCCGCCTACGGGTCCGTTTCCCCCTGCCGCCGCCCTGCTGATCGCTCGGTACGTGTTGACGTTGCTCGTCAGCAGCTGTGTCGGATGGGCAGGGCAAAAGTGTTGCATGCGGGGGGTCAGCCATTTGTCAAGAGCAACAGGCTTCAGAGTCCACATTTCGTGGAGTAAGTCGAAGCAGCAGATCATCGTTTTCTGAAGACGGAGACCTTGATCATGCACGTTGGGGGATCAGCCAAGAAAAAATAAACGCCAAGTGTCCCCTGGCGTTTTTTACATTATGTCATGAACACTTGTGCCTCAAAACCATCGGTAACGGTACCACACTACACCACAAACACACCTTGAGAGTGGCCTTGGTCGTCAGCGTCGCCCGCAGCGTCTTGTGCTTGCGGTTGAAGATCACGCGGATCATGCCGTCCCACTCCGTGAAGTTCACTGGCGGCGGCGGGTTGCGCAGTTCTATTCGGACCACGCGCGAGTCCACCTTGGGAGGCGGACGGAAATTGTTCCGATTTACCTGTGCTCGAGGGCGCGCGAGTTTCGATTCCCAAGGCGGGTTTGGCGAACGAATGGATCAGTGAAAATGAGGCGGGGCGACGGGAGGGGGGGGGAGGGGGTGCCGCGGGCGAGGCGGTGGACGCGGGCGTGCGATGGAAGAGACAAAGGTGACCAGACTGGAATCGTAACGATTTCTCGTCAAGAGTGGTGCAACAATGGAAGTGTAGAGGGCCTTCATGACGTTGTAGCAGCCATATCCAGCTTGCTGTCGTTCGAAAAACGCGCAGTACAACTAGGACCACGCTGGCCCTGTGCTACTGATTTCATGTTTTAACATATGCCACTCCCGGCCGTCCATGGCGGCCTACCCTCACAGACACTTGGCATGCAGCCACGGCAGTTGTATGTAGCTGTGAAAACGCGATTGGCCATGTCTCTACACCAGAGGTACCGTATGACACCTTAGACTACAGTAGGTTCAGGGGGGTACCTTAAAGAGCTGATCGACCTTCGCCAAGAGCTGCGTGTTCACGGATAAGCGGCACCACATGTCCGTGTTTGGCCTTCCCGCAAAAATACCAGAACGTAGACGGCAGGGGCGGGGTAGGGGTATGCAGAGTCAATCAACACAACCTAACGACAAAGACACGAGAAGAACGTTTGAAAATAGGCAACCACCGTTACCATACGCAGAAGAACAAGAAAAACAACACCACTACCAACAACAACAACAACAAGCAAATGAAACACGCCTACATCAGTATCATCAACACCAACTACGGCAGTAACAGCAGCAACAACATCAAGAACACAACAACAGCAACAATAACAATACAACAACACCAACTACGGCAGTAACAACACCACCACCACCAACAACAACAACAATCAGAACAATGCAACAACACCAACTACGGCAGTAACAGCAGCAACAACATCAAGAACACAACAACAGCAACAATAACAATACAACAAAATAACAGCATCACAACAACAAGCAATGGCAATGGCAGCACGAGCCAAGAACGACAACAATAACAACAACACCGACGCACCTGGCGGTAAGTCGTTGTGCAAACTCCTCCTGGAACATGATCACCGCACACCGGAACATCGGGCGGTGCGCCAAGAGCTTGAACAGCAAAGGCGACGATATCTGACAAAACAAAAAAAAGATGCGACAGAAAAGAAACAACGCGAGTTAGCAGTGACAACCTGGGGGGAGGGCGTCACCCTGTTACGGGGGGCAGGTACTCGGGGAAGAGGGCAGGAAAGTGCATGCATTCATCGATCCTTCATTCATCGATCCTTCACGTGCCATTGTCCCACTCCCTCGCCCAATAACAGCAACATCGCGAGCAGCACCAATGACACCAGCAACGATCACCCATTGCCGTTGCCTCTTCTCACGTTGTACGGAACGTTTGCCACGAGCACGTCGAAGAAGGGGAGGGGCACCTTCAGCACGTCCCCCTGGATTATCTGGAGCGACTTTTCCCACTCTCTGCAACAGAGGCGAGGCGAGGTGTAAGGGCAGCATGAGGGATGGGTGGAGGGGGGGGGTAGCTGATTACAGTCGTGGTTCCGGTGTAGCGGTCCATAGTGTCATGAAAAATTCTAACCGCTATAGAGGGTCCGGTGTAGCGGTCGATAGAGTCAAAAAAATTCTAACCGCTATTGACGGCATCACCGCTAAACGGATTGGCAGCTAGATATTAATAGTAGTTTACCGAGGTATAGCCGTGCCACGAGATTTTGGAACCGCTATTCAGGGCATCCCGCTACACACAGGGAACCGCTAAACCGGGACCACGACTGTGCTCACGTTCATCACATGTACTCACGTTCATCGCAAGACCTCAAACCACTTATACAGGCCGAGCAAAAGTTGCCAAGGATGGCAAGGAACGGCAAAGGAAGGCTACAGCTATTTTATTTTTGGTTCTGCGATAAATTAAACAGTCACCTTGACGAGTACACTGCACTTGAACCGAGACAAACAAGAGACCCAGGTCCCGCCCTGGAAAACCCTCTGTCAACTATTGTCGTGAACATTTTAAGTGGGGATTGCCCGGAGGGGTGGGGGAGGGTTCTCCAACTCAACGACAGCGGCTGGGGCATTGGCTGCTGGGTGCTGCTGCTGCATTCAGCAGAGTGTGCGCTGTACGAATGGAATGTATCTCTCTTTTTCTCCTCTATTTTGATCTGGGTTGGCATTAACATCCGCCATCGCCGACAACTGTGACGTCAACGACAGCAACAGCAGCAACAACAACAACCACAAAAACAGCAGCAACAGTATCAGCACCAAAACCACCACCATAAACAATAACAGTAACAAAAACAACAACAAACCACTACTCCATGCGGGGTACGAGCATGGAGCCAAGCAAGTGGCGAAAGAACCCAACGCACTGACCGAGCCACTCACGTTCCCTCCACGCGCTTCATCACCTCCCTGACCATTCTCGTGTCCAGCTCTACGGCAATCACCCGCTTCGCCCTCTCTAGGAGGCGGACCGTCAGGTTACCGGTTCCCGGACCGATCTCGAGAACGACGTCCGTTCGCTTCACCGCCGCACGGTCAACGATTCCCTGCCGCGGTCGCAAGAAAAAAAACAGGCATGAGTCTCAGTTGGGCCAGTGGGAAGGCTGGTCTAAACTTAGACCCGGGAGGGGCACGAAGACTGGCCTAAGGCGGAGGGAGGGTAGTGTCGTGGAAGACGCGTATGGGAAATAAGTTCACGGTCACCATTGCCGGTGTCCGCCGTGGACTGGAACAACCCAAAAAAAAAAAACTCGTGCATGGCGTGCTAGTTGTGCTACA